TAAAATACACGGAGGATGAAGAAGAACTCCTACAGTTTATTCAACAAGGCTGAGTCGAGATCATTTTCCTCAGGAAGCTTAGATTACTTGATATGAGTGGGAACTCCTCTCTCCAAAACACCCAGATAAAAACAAGTAGGTTTTTTTTATGCTGCTCTGCTGGTGGGTCACAGCCGATAATAAAGCTCATCAGAAAGGCCGGTGGTGATATTGTTTTAAACACTTTAAAAAGGCCAATCAATACATGAGCACAGTATTTTGAACTGGAATTAAATCTCACAGTAAGCCTTTTAATTATTATTGATTGAAGACCTTTCATCTTCGTATTGTATGCATCTTAATTTATGCATCTTTTCATCCATGGTGGATTATGATGTTTAACACTGATTCTGCTGAGAATAATATTATAAATGTTGTTACAGCATGGGGTTAACTATTTTTGTTATACATGTTGTTTGTCTTTCTGTCTATCTGCCTGTTTGTCCCCCAACCCCTGAGTCCTGTTACTCCAGATCTTTGCCCCAGATGCTTTGTTTGTGCACGTATAGCTTCAAAATGTTCCTTTTTTTCTCTTGAGGTAGCAAGGAAAGTTAACAACAACAAAAGTAATGAAATTGTTCATCCGCAATGTGTAAAGCAAACATTCATCTTGAGCTATAAATGTAACAGACTGTACTCTGAGGTTGTCTTTTACTGCTTCTTTCTTACCTAATGTTTTTTTAGGATTAAGAGCAAAAACAGTGTTAAGGAAGTGAGGACAGTATATACAAAACTAGAGTAAAGAGCTTTCTGTGAACGTCTCAGCCATTTGTTTCTACTGATGTGTAGTGGCGCACTAAATTATAGTAATTCAGTTTTACTGTATGTGAGACTCAGCAGACCAGAGGTTACTGTGGCTGTAGTGATGCACCGGGGCCCTCTAGTGGCCTGTGCTGTGCATTTCAATGGTCTGTAAGAGTAACTAAAGAAAGGAAGGATAAACATAATGACCACAGAGTAAGACTGGGGCTCTGCAGCAGCAACGTATACACATAAAATGGATTGGATTGATACAATAAAGTAGTAAAAATATAGTATAGGTTTTCTGCTGAGCTCACAGGTCGTACACATTAACAGTTTCAAGAACACACAAGCTTAATTATTCTCAGTTTCATGAGTCTGTTTTATCTTCTGCCATCATTGTCACTTATACCTTTCTGTTTGTTTTGGTTGTGTAACTGCGACCCTGCAGTCGATTAATCTGGAACCATAACCTGTTTTTTTTCCCCCTCTTTGCTCTTCAGCCGGCGAGGAGGCAATCTCTAACTCCGCCTTCACCAAACACTATATCCTGGGAAGAGTACATCACTGCGGACAATGGAAAGTAGGTGTCTAAATAAATAAAGGCTTCACTGTTAGACTTTGACTTTGGAAGTGAGACTTAAGATTAATGTTACTTTAAGTCATATTACATTCATGAATGAAGGAACCAGATGTCTGATTGTCCTTTCTTTAGCAAAATAGTGAGCTTAAATGTCACAAAATGTCTAACTGTACTTTTCAAGGCCCGGTGGTTTCCTCTATATTCAGTTACTGTTTAGAAGAAAAAACATGGAAAAACTCATGACTCCATCTTAAGAGTTGAAAAGAAAAATACACATGGAAGATTTCTGCATAATAACGAGCTGTACGCTCTTCCTCAGTGAGCTGTCTTCATCCTGACATCACACTCTGACAGGTTGTTCTTTCTCCCTCCAACTCAGAGCACCTCATCTAGGCAGAGAGCTGGTCTGCAAAGAGAGCAAGAAAAACTTCAAAGCCACGATAGCCATGAGTCAAGACTTCCCTCTGGGCATTGAATCGTAAGTCATCTCTTTAACTTTCCATCCAAACTATTTATTATAAAACAAGAAGCCAAAAATCCCCTCCTGTTGTTTTTCCCCCTCTGGCACGCGCTGATAAAAACATACTAATTTGTGCAAATGTGTTGGTTTTGTTCTCACTCAGGTTGTTGAATGTTCTGGAGGTGATTGCACCGTTCAAGCACTTTAATAAACTCAGGGAGTTTGTTCAGATGAAGCTCCCCCCTGGCTTTCCTGTTAAACTCGGTAAGCAGATCCAAACAATTTGAAAGAAGCATGTTGTGTAAGACGTGCGTATAGACTTTGTTTTTGTGTGTTAACTGAAATTTGACTATTGACATTTTCTCCGACTCGTTCACAATATGGAAAGAAACCTACAGCAGACAGGAAGAAATTCAAAGCATGTCATCAAAGATATAATTTGTGATCCTGCTCATGTTCTCCCTGCAGACATCCCCGTCTTTCCCACGATCACAGCCACCGTGACGTTTCAGGAGTTTCGCTACGACGTGTTTGATCAGTTCATTTTTACCATTCCCAACGACTATAAAGAAGACCCCAGCCGCTTCCCTGACCTTTAACCTCTCGAGCTGGAGCAGGAAACAAACGTGCAACATAACGCTACAAAACATACTTGAGAAAAAAAAAACAGCGGGAATAGTTTGTGGATTCCATCACCCACCCTGAACACAGACGACGACCAGACGACCGGACAAACAATGGCGTCGCCAGAGCTGCTGGAGGCCCGCGGTGGCAGAGAGGTTGACATCTCCTCGTAGTCTTTTGAAGCGTAGTGTTGCAGGTTCTCACTCTCACCCTCGATCTAAATCCAGACAGGAGAGTTTGAACCTCTCCTCAGTGAAAAGGGCATTGAAGTTCAAACGAGTGACAGCAGAGCCGGTGAGTTCTCTGTATACGGGGGTCTGAGACCGTTCAGTGGATGCTATGTATTTTAGTATGTAAGTAATGTTTATAAAGGGAATGTTTTTAACTGACTTGTAGTAAAGCACTGATATTGTCTGTGTGACACGTTGGGGAGGAATTCCACCAAAAAATTACTTTTTAGGGTTTTTTTTTTCTTGCTTAAGTAGACTTTTAAAGACACATTAAATTGTATATAATCGAATGCACCTGTTAGCGAGGTGTGTAAGAGAATAAAATCCCTGCTTTTTATTTTACACTCAATTCTTTTAACACCATCAAATTTTGACATTTTCCCAAAGATGTACTAAACACTGATAAAATGTCCTTTAACATTCAGTTTTTTGGAGAAAAGTGGCTTCTTTTGTAGGTTAAAAACCTTAAAAATCAATTTTTGCTGAATTCCACTTTAACTCTGCACATTATAAAATTGTGTGTGTGTGTGTGTGTGTGTGTGTGTGTGTGTGTGTGTGTGTGTGTGTGTGTGTGTGTGTGTGTGTGTAACAGTGATTTTCACGGGCATGGAGTAGCATCACTGAACTCTTGGGTACTATTTAGATCCACTACAGCCACTCTACATTCAGCTGAGATCATTCACACTCATTTTGTGATGCTCGACCCTTAACCCCGCATTTGAAATATATTATAGTTTAATCGAGGCAACGCTAGAAATGCTGCAATTTTTATGGTACTACGAGGTTTTCTCTTCGTTCGTTTTGAGTGGAAGTGAGCGGAAGTCATGGCGTCCTAAGCCTTTTGTTTCTTACTACACGTTTGTAAACTATGTAACAAACTGTACAATCCAGCTCAAAGAAGAAAACTGGGGATTGTAGAGAAAGTAGATATTAGAGAATTAATGAATGAGTACGACATTCATGCCATTTTTACACAAGAACCAGGCTATTCCCCTGCACAGTGTGTAAATACAGGTTTGTCTTTTGTGTTCTCTTTTCTTATTCTTTGTGCTGATGAGTTTAAGATGTCCTCCACAAGAGGAAATGTTGTGATTTGTGTTTTTCTTTTTTTTTAATGTAGAGTCTCATGAGTTAAATTGAGGGTTTGTTGGTTTGTAACATGGTGGCGGTTGCTATTTTTGTACATACTTGTAATGTTTTAATGAAAAAAAAATGAATCTCTTAATTCTCCTGTCATTATTTACCTTCCCACTTTAAATAATAAGGATAAAACCTTTACGAACCTCCCTCCAGATTGTGTGGAACAATCAATCACTTCCACAGTGTGACCAGCACAAAGCACCAGGTCTCCTCAGATGAAATGAATTATGTACAAGTGCAGGAGGTGTTGACTGGAGGCTGGAGATGTTCTACTCTGTTTATAGCTGCTGCTGTGGTTCATGAGCTTTTTAATCATGTTGATACACGCAGGTGTTGTGCTCATGTTTGTTAAACGTGCCTGCTGCTGGAGTTTAACATGAAGGTGTACTACACAGATGTGGTGGCTCAAAGTGTTGTTAGAACAATTTGCTTACTTGGATCCATATTCAGTATCAGTATAACCAAATACAGTACATTTCTTTTTTTATTTTTACATTACATTCCTCCATATGGGCATAAGTGCAGCTAACGTTACTGTGTGCCTCCTCACTCACAGCGCTTTATATTTCATTTCATGCTCCTTCCTGTCTTCAGTTGCTTCAATTTTCCTTTTTTTTTTTAAATGTAGGAAGTTCATCATTCATCTAACCTAACATGTCCGCTGTACAGCAACAACTGTTGTATAAGTCTGCGACACTATTTTCATATAAAATGTACTAAATAAAAAATCCCACATATCTTACCGTCTAGTTTGGACTCATGTTTGTTTTTTTTCACGGACCTAACCGTTAATTTAACGGAACACTTCCTGGCAGTTGGCGTCAAGCTGGATGACGTCCAGCGTTATGTTGTGTATATAAAGCGACAGTTAGCCGCCGGTTAGCTTAGCGCAACGTTTGGAAAGAAGGGGAAAGTTAGCCTAGCATTATCCAACGGTAAACACCTACTCAGCAGAGCCGCTAAAGCTCATGAATTAACATTATATATATATAACCCATATAAAAATACCTATAAACCATATATATATATATATATATAAAAAATGTGTATAACCGATAATTCGCCATTTTACCAGCGGTTGTGTTTTGGCCTTGAGCAGTTGCCAGGCAACCAGCTAATACTTCAGAAAGCTATTAGCCATATTTTCCAAAACAACAAACCTCTTCTTTCAATGACACAAGTGTACAGTTTGACCCAATTTTATTAGTTTCCTTTGGAAAGAAAAACCTATTGCAGACAAAGTATTTCATTGCAACAACACATTTCAATCTACAGTGTACACTTACAAAGGGGTGTAAATAGGAAGGTCAGCTGAGACATGACTGGGTGCATTACAGTTAAAGCAAAAATGGTTCAGCGACCAAGAAAGCAACCCGACGTTGGTGCCTGGTGAGTAACTAACAGTCTCAATGAGGAAAGGACTTAATCCCGACCAGTAAAATATTTACATTGACAACATTTTAGTGGAAAACGCTGTGTATTCTACTGCCAGGAAGAATAAACACAAAAGGCAACAAACAGAAAAAAAATCAGCGGGATCTTAAAAAAGTACAGCAATGACAATTTAAAACCAGTCTCATGTTATTCATATTTTAGTCCTTGTTTTCTCGTCTTTACAAAAATTATTCGACTGCTTTCCTTCTACATCCCCTCCCCATTTTCCCAAAATGCTTCTACAGTTAAGACAACAAATCTTTTTTTTAAACTTTGAGTGATCAGGCACGGACACGTTGTGGCCTATATTAAAAATATAAAAGAGGACAGTGGAAAGATAACACGGTCTGGTTCGAGATGTTCTTAGTCGCTCATCTCCATGTCTTCCTGATGGTGATCGTCTCCATTCAGCTTGGACTTTTTGGGGATTTGGCCCTCGGATCTCTCCATCTCCTCCTGGCCTTTAGGGGACGATGCCGAGTCAGAGTCGCTCTTCCTCTCGTCATCGTCCTCCTCTCCCTCTTTCTCGCTGTCATAACCTTGCTCCTCCTCATCGTAATCCCGGGTCACCTGTCAAGACAATTTAAGTTGTTCGATTAGTTCTTTGTTCTCCACAAAAATCACAATCAATTAAACGCCAATTTCTAGAAGCTCCAAACGTACCTTAACGTCTCCTTTCTCGCTATCGGACTTGCGGTCCCGATCTCGCTCCTTGTCTTTGCTCTTCTTCTTCTTACTGGTGGAGCGTTCTCTTTCATCTCTGCTCCTGTCCTCCCTCCTGTCTCTATCCCGCTCCTTCTCACGCTCCTTGTCCTTCTTCTTCTCTTTCTTGTGACTGTGAACGTGACAAATGTTCATCATTTTAAGTTCACCATTTTAAGTTGTACTCAAATTCACTGCATGTAAAATGCTGATAAATCACCGTCTCGGCGATGGAGACCTGGACAACTTCCTCCTGGGGGACCGAGATGCACTGCGGCTTCGTCTGTGCCTCCTGGGTAAAAAAAAAAAAAACAACATACAAATGAATAAAAGCCATTTGAATTATTTGCTGTTTTAGCGTCACATTAAATTTGAAAGAAAGTGCTCCTGTAGTGCCTAAACTTCACCATTACTCACCGGCTAATGCTTCGAGACCTCCTGGCGCTGCTGTAGCTCTTGGGGGGCGTCTTTGACCTTTTCTTAGACTTTTCCTCCTTCCTCCTTTCCCTGATCAAGACAGAAGCAGCGTCAACAACATTAGCAAACAGCAGCAGGGGCAGCTTTGCTTTACATTTCGACAATAAAAATCATGATTACAACTACAGCTCAAATTGTGCAGCAGTGGTCGACATATGTTTGGCAATAAAATGAAAAAAAGGCAGCTGCTTTGGTCCATTAATGGAGATACTGACCTAGATCTACTGCGGCGGCCTCTTTCCCGGGAGTGGGACCTCCTTCTCCGTGGACTCTTGGACCTCCTCCTACTCCTTGAATGGGACCTCCGCCGAGACCTGCTCTTCGAACGCCTGCCAAAGATGAAGAAGTTGCTCATTTTTTTAAATTACTACAAGAAGTTAAGTACACTGTTCGTGCCTCGTATGTAGACACCACAGCTCTTTAATGCCGTCAACTTTACCTGTGTCTGGAGCGAGATCTGGATCGCCTGCGCCGTGACCGCGAACGGGACCGGGAATGTTTGCGCTTGTCATCTTTCTTATCTGCAAAAACAATTATATAAAGTTAAATATCGAGCAGGTAGTAGGACTTCCTTAGGCTCACATACTGGAACAAATGTTCTATGATTACAAACGGACGTTTTCTCTCGTATCTGCTGAACAAACAAGGAAGCCTCTACAGTCTCTTGCAAGGGAGACACGAGGAAATGGAGCACTCACTTCCTGGTTCAATGGCAGCAGAAATGAGAGACTGGGCCTCTCGGACTCTTTTCATGGCCTCTTCAATCTCCTTATTGGAAGCGTCAGTCTTCAGCCCTGGATTCAAGTTCAGTCCGGCCGCTAACGGATTCAATCTGCAAGTGCCATCAATTATTTAGACTTTTTTCACACACACAAAAATTAGGCTCACTGGATTGCATATCCTGCATGAAGACGTGTGTTTAGTTTCTTACTTGGGGTCCATGGACTGCATGAGCTTCAGGAAGTCTGCAGAAAGAGCCTGAAACACATGGGAGGAGGATAATTAACATAAGGAAGACATTTTGATTTAACGTGCTGCTGCCGTGAATGTGACCGATCGAGTGCTCACCTGGGGGTTCATGTTAGGTCCTGCCATTCCCATGGCAGCCATTTGCTCCATGTTGGGAGCTCCAAGACCTCCGAATGGCGTTCCTCCCATCTGAAATATCGGACACAGACACTCAAGATACACTGCAGAGCTTATTTAACGGTGCTGTTCATATTTAGTATTTATTGTTCTGATTTACTGAAATATTGTGCCTATCTGCATCAGTGTTACTGGTGTAAACAAATGAAAAACTTGCCAGAAAGTTATGATGATGCTGTAAGCAGTACATCTGTATTCAATATGAGGGAGATTTAATTAAAAAGGATTAAATCTCCCTACATTCCTGTAGATTTTTACACGTTTTTTAAGTTCCCATTCACCTTCCTTAAGTCATAAATATAGATTGAAAGCTAATTTCCTTTTTAAATGGACATAAACTCAAAGAGTTTACAGGTTCTTGATAATTTGACAAATATGGCTGATGGATAGGAATCTAAAAACATATGGCCCGTTATGGACAGTAACAGTTTAAAATATGAGAAACTACAATTTGACTTACAAATAGTCAAGATCAATCACTCATCTAGCAATAGAAAAAAAAAAGATCATGAACACAATGTGAGCTTTATTAAAAAGACAAACTCAATATCAAAACTCACTGTCGCCAGAGGATTGGGTGTTGGAAGAAGGCCTCCCCCAGGCATCATTCCTGCCACGGCATTGGCTGGAGCCAGCAGCGACATAGCTTTAGATTCATCAGGAATGACTCCTGGAGAGAAACAACAACATTTCAGTGCACGCTCCAAGCAAACATCGATAAACACTCAGACAAGACTTGCAGACAAGCCACCTCAGTCTAACTACACTGTAGTCAAAAAATAAAAAATAATAAAAAATCCACTTTTTGTCTTGTCTGTAAATCTTGATCCCTGACTTTTGTGAAAGTATGATTGTAGGATTAGCAGCTATGAGTTTAAAAGTCACAATACACACTGTGGTCAACACTGCCAAGATTTTATCACCTGTACTTGTTTTTTAAGTCATGAACCAAACGTAAGCAAGCACAGCCAGTTGTCCCGTGGGATGTGCTCTCAACTTTCATTAGATGTTTTATGAACAAGCGACTCGCGCCGGCTGCTTCGCTATAAAGCACACAAAAACATTGAGATACAGAAAACAAAGTTCATGATTTGGGTGTAGACACAAGGGTACATTTCAACATCACTTACCATTACCAATACAAAAAACAGAAAAGGTTCAGTCATTTTACCTTTTCTGGGCTTTTGTCGGTGGTTACAATCCCACCACAAAAAACTGCTAACAAGCTACAGCAGTGCTAGGTTTTAGCCAACAATATGTCACTAAAAACACTAAACAATGTCAAAGCTAAACTGCACTAAACAGTTAAGGGCTATTGCCAGCAAAAGCTGTGATAAAATCATAAAACATTTTTGCCCAAAGCTGAAGAAAAACCAAACAGTAAAATCAAAAGGGAAAATCTTATGGAGATGATCATCCATGGTTGTGCAATCTGAAAACAGGCTATTTTTTTAATCTGACATTTTATATGGCAAAAAAGGGGGAGAGAGAGAGGGAGAGAGAGAGAGAGAGAGAGAGAGAGAGAGAGAGACACATACACACGCGCACACACACACACACACACACACAACAGAAAGGACACTTGAGAAACAGGATAAGGCTGCAGAAGACAAAACTGTTGGTGGCATTTTCAGCAGGGTCTGGTATATAGGGCTGGCTGAACCAGGAAAAAGAACTGTAAAACACAACAACAAAAGAAACACCACTGTTAAACGTGAGAGTCACTCAACTCTTTCAGAGTCATGTGTGGAGAGGGTCAATAAAAAAAAAAGCATTTACTGCAACATCAAGCAGAGGCTTACAACTACTTTTATCTCGTGTGTTAGTGGTAATTTGGAAAAAACAGATGCACAGTGTAAAATAATACAAGGCTTTGGCACATGAAGCAAGTAAATGCCAAATGCATGTTTGTGTGCTTATTATGATTAATAACCAAATTATGTGCTAATAAACTTCCACCACATCTGCTGAAAGTTACTGTAGACGATGGCACACACCTTCAGAAATCTATTCTAGCATGCACAGCTGATTAGTTAATCTATCCTGCATGCTTTGTGCTTTGTGTAGGGATGTCCCGAACATTTTTTTCATCAATCTGCTCCATTTAACATTAGGATTCTGCCAGTAACAAGTCCAGATCCAGTATTTATATTTTCCTTTATAATGCAGTTCAGCAGCGTATACTTAAATCAGCAAAGGCCAAGATAGCATTTAATAAGGCAATCCGGTTTGGATGTGACTGGTGAACAGCTCTACGTTAAGAAAACAAAGCCAGACCCTAAACACCCATGTAGGTGTTTTCACTTATCTGGCTGATGAGACTCGGGACTGTGGACCTGTAGGACTGTGATTGATTGATTGATTGATTGATTGACTGACATCTCCCTTGCTCTAATGCTGGGATTTGTTGCACCTGTGAGGGCGGGCCTACTTACACCTGGAGTCTGGTGTCCTAAGCACATTCCCACCATAGCACCGCCCAACTTGAACCTAAAACAGGTCTGATAAGCCAGTAACTGAAAACACCAGTGTGTATGTGCAGGGTCTCTAATTGCTTCCTACAGCACTGAATATCAATGGACAAGAGGAGTGTCAAGAGTGGATCTGAGGTGGCAGTAAATCAAGTAAATGTATGCGACATAAAGAAGATAATTTAGATAGATAAATAGAAATACTTTATTTATCCCCGAAGGGAAATTATAATGTTATAGCAGCTGATTAAGAGTCAATTTAGGGTTGTACAGCCCCTGCAAAATGTCACTGAAACTCTCTCGCTGATGCATGCCGTCAGTGTGGATATTAATGAACTCAAACTAATTGTTGACGATTACTGGTTCAAGCACAATAGGACATTTTGACAACTGGCGGACCCGGAAGCGTAAAAAAGGTTAAAATATAAACAGGAGGACCAGAACTGGTTCAAGCTTGAAATCAATACCAATTAATTGACAGATCGGCCTCAATACCAATCCAGCTGATCTGCTCGGGGCATCCCTAGTTCGGTGCATGCCTACTAATCAACATACATTTTAAATTTAAAATATTCAAATCCTTTCAACATGTGAGGAATTGAGATTGCCCTGCACCCTCTCCCCCACCCCCTCATCTTGCTTAAGAGTTGTGTGGCTAATTTGTTTTAAAGAAAAGATGCCTTGAACAGAGAAAAAAATAAAGAGTTAATATTTTACTGCAGAACAAGAGAGAGAAGGGGGGCTTGCGAGCCTGGTGCCATTATTTTTTCTAATCTCCTGATGGCAGCAGAGGACCACTTTCAGCCAGCAAGGAAGGGGCTCTCTGCAAATGACTTGTCCACTATGAAAACCACAACACAAATAACAGAGAGAGAAGTTTACAGCTAGATTGTAAGACATGGACACAAATGTACATTTCCCTTTTACATACCTAGAAATGCCAAGCACTGAAAGCTTAGCTAATTTTGCTTGGTCAGAAAAACACTCACAATGGCTCAGATAGCGTCAGTAATTCTAATAAACAGCCTACACATTGTGATGCATGTTCAGAGATAGCCAAGTGAGAGAGACAAGACTGAAACAGACACCCACCTTCAGCAAAAGGGACCACGATCAAGGCTCTGTCCACGAAGACGGTGTTCGTCAGGTGTTGGGAAACTCCCACCGACTCAGACTCAAGGAACTTTACAAAACAGACACGTGAAGTCACAGGCAAGGGAGAGTCACTGGAAAAAAATACAGATATGTTGTGCAAAGAATACAAACAAGGAGACCCAACATGCCTTCTTCAAACTGATCTGAATGAGTTTTGTGCCCCCAGGGGCAATTAAGTTAATAGTGGAGATACAACCTCGTCCACTCTCATCTCCACATCCTCTGCTTGGACCAACACGGTAGGTTAGAAAAATGTATAATGTGTTGTATTGTTAGCACTGACATTATAACTAAATTGTTGCTATGTTGTTGTTACAGTCATTGATGTCCTACCTGCTGAGAAGCCAGGTGTAACTCAATAGAAGAGAATACAAAGCAAAGAACAATTATTTCCTACTATAGTCAATCAATAAAATACTGAGGTAGGTTTGGTAGTCTCTCAAAAGCATCTCAAATGGGATGCAGGGAACCCCAGGGATTACTAACAGGAAGTCCCTTACACAACAATATTACTGTTAAAATCATTTGTTTTTCTACTTTGTGTACATCAGTATTTACTACATTAACAAAATGTAAAAGCTGTTACATTTAGTGCTGAAACTGTTTTAACTTATTGATTTATTATCTGACAATTACAATTCTAATTGTGTATAAAATGAAGGAGAAAAAAAGAAGAAAATGTACAAATGATTATATTTACAATGAGGTAAATCATAAAGGCAAATAAACCTGAAGAGGCTGAGAGAAGTAACAATTAGTCAATTAATTGACACATTGGGATAAATTGGAGCGGCTTACAAAACAAATGCGAGCTTACAATATTTACAGTCACTCACATGTGAGGATTTATTGATTTATTTGTGTTTTCTACCATTAAAAACTGAGTATCTTCAGTTTGTTCTCCTGTTTTTTTTCTCTCAGACAAATCCCAATCTCTGGGTGATGACATTACGGTAAACGTTAATCCAAAATAATTGACAGATTAATGGACTCAATCTTCAGCTTCAATCTGATCTTTCTTCTTGATAACAACTGAAAACAATTAAACACATCATCGGAGTTATATTGATTGATTATCGACCAATTAAGTCGTGTAACGTTAGCTAGTTTCGGTTTCGGTGCCAGTTACACATCCCGGCGTCTGTGGAAGAAAAGGGGATTTATCTTAATCTACACTAAAAAAAAACACTCACATAAAAAAAACCCCACACAACTGCAAACATACTCAGTGTGTCCCTCATGCCCTATCGTTACGTGGAGCGACTGCTGCAGCATTGACTAAAGGCGCGGGGAATCGTTAGCATTAGCATTAGCACGCCGTGCGGTGAGGCCTAGTCGACACCGACAGGCCTCACGAGGAGCCCAGTGTGAGACAACGTTTGACCGATTTAAAATACACAATACTCACTCAGGTGGAAACAGTTTGAGCTCCTCTATGTTTCCGAGGAATCCAAACAGAGTCCTCATTTGTTCGGATGTCGTACTCGGGGAGACATTGGTCACCTGAATGACGTGCGTGTTTGAATTCATTTTTTCGCGAGTGCTAATCAAGCTAGCTAGCGTTGTGCTAGCAACGGGCCCGAGTCTGAAACGAAACAAAGACGACCTGGGTAACGATGACGACGAGAACAACAAAACATCAGGCGAAAACCAACGCTAGCATCTTCCCTGTGGATGGAAGGTGGTAAACATTTGCTGCGGACAAGAACACGACCGCACAGAGCAACAATGCCGCTGCCGAAAATGTCGTGAGGCAGGGATGCTGCTTTCACGTGCAGTTCGTAAGCTCGTACTTATGAGTTTTACCCTGGCAAACGCGAGTTGTCTCATTCAAGTAGGGCACAATTATATCACAGTGTGTTTTTGGTTTTGATGTGTTATATTATTATGTTCCAGTGGTGGAACAAGTAACAAAGATTCTTAAATGATCTCATTTGCCTGAAGAAACCTGCACGTAAATATTTATTCGAGCATCCTTTGTACTGTCTATAAATGTTATTGTTTTTGTTTGTTTATATATATCTAATGGTACATAGTAGTTTATGCCTGTTTTGTTGAGCTTGTTTATCTATGCTTATTCTGTGTAGGTACATTGAGAGCAGATTCCTTGTATGTGTGCACCTGGCAAATAAAAGTGGTTCTGATTCTGGTAGAGCCGGTAGACGGTTTCTGGATTTTTGAGGCTGATACTGACATCAACCCACATGTCCTGAAAATACTGATTAACATGGGAATTTAGAGAGTAGTTTTTCAGTCAGGGAAACACCTGGAAATTGATTAAAATGACCAAAAATCCTGAAAATATTTTATGTTGTCATGGAGAATAAAATTTTGTATTTTTTTTGACCCCCTCACACACCTACATAAACCCGGGTATGTATTTTGATTTAAATATGTCAATACTCGGCCGACTGGTAAATTATATGACTGTTTGGGAGCAACTGTACAACAAGAAAATGTCTTGGAAAATGATTTGTTAAAAATAGTGGGAACCCTGTTGAGTGTAAGACATCCAGTATTCAAATATGATATGTTGGCCGTAGTATTTATTTCTTTTTTTCTACATAAACACATAACATAAAAAACATGAACATGTTTTTCTTTAGAATCTAGATACTAATATTAGATATTTAGCTCAAACCTAATTTGTCATTTCTGTACTGCATTTTCTTGTTACTTAATGACTAAAATATACAAGACCAATATATATTTTATAAACTAGCATTGGCTTTATGTTGACCTGACTGGTCTAGCTCTCATAAAATCTTAATCTGAAGTAACTCTAGCTGTCAAATAAATGTAGTGGCGTAAAAGTATTTTTTCTCTTCAGCGGCAGAAGAGTACAAAGTAGCATCAAATTCAAATACGAAAGGAAAGTACCTCCAAAACTGTACTTAAGTACAGTACTCAGTTAATTCCACCTTTGATATTTACATAAAAAATTGTGAATCTTGTGTACTATGTTTCCTGTTTTTACCTATAATGTAGACTCATTAAATTATATTGTATCATTATATCTGAAACATCTCTGCAACTCCAGTAGTCCTTTTTTGTTATAAAAACTAAATTAAATATGTTTTTTAAACATTTATTTTCAGAAAAAAATTGGCTTTTGGTGATTTTAAATGCTGAGTAAAATCTACTAGACAAGATTTAAAAGTGTGATTTAAACCGGGGAATACTAAATGAACGATCAGGACAAACAATTGATCAAAAAATCAATCAATCAATTAATTGAAATGAACTTCCTTCACAGCAAAGTCTAACTAATTTCTAGATTGTTCAGATGTAAAAATGACAATTGGCATTTTTCCAACTGTGCGTAAAGGCAGCACGGCTCGGAATACGGCTGGAATCCGAGTGGGCGTGGCTAACGTTGTGTCACAGTAGTTTGTTGCTAGGCTGCTAGCTAGTGGCCTCCTGAAATAGTCATTTTGCCGTTTTTCTCGAAATCGCAACGCCATGCAAACACCGTAATAGTTCGAGGATGTTAAATGTCAGCAAGGATAATTTAGTGATTTTAAACAGTCAGTCAGCGGCGGACTTTGTGCTCGGGTTCAACAAACGTCGGAGGGCAACTCAACGACCCACATCTAGGCGCAAAGTCGTCGCTTGCTAACTTAGCATCCCCCCCGTTTTCAGGCATGTCAACAGGTTGCTGCAGCGTTTGTTGGTTACTGCAGATATTTTAAATATAGGGCATTACATGAACGATAACGGTGTCGTTAAATTTCAGTGTTGCATTAGTTAATGTTGTGTTGCTTCATAAAGGTGAGACAGTAACTCGGGGCAGTGTAATCGCCGAACAAGCTGTCAGGATGGACCTGCAGAGATCAACGACATGAGACAGGCAAGTGGATGAACTTTATCTGGAAAGATTAAGTATATTTTCTGTGCAGGATAACAGTGGGATTATGGTGCTTTTGTAAGCGTTTGTGTTTACGGTCCAACATTGGCGCGAAATGTATGAAAGCACTGCCTGCAGAGCTCTGGGAAACCAATATAACACATCAAATATAATGTATATAGAGGGAAAGGTCTCATTAAGGTCTTAAAAAACAATATGTAAAGTATTACAAGAATAGAATACAATATCCAAATCACAGAAGCTGCAATGTTTTTGATTAAACAGCATTATAAGGGAGTACTGTAGTGCTGCAGAGATGCCCTGGCTTACACATCTTCTTCTCCACATGCAAAAATGATCATTAAAGGAGCACATGTGTAAAAATACCCTATTTACATACTTTAATTGCTTAATCAAGGAGAAGATATTTTTGATAAGTGGAATAGTATAATAGTAAAATGTAGCAAATTCATGTAAGAAAAGAGAGGAGAATGTGTTATTAGACACATTTAAAATTAAGACAGGTTTAATTGGCTGTTTGTTAGTAACCTGAGTTAGATATTTAGTAATTAAAGTGACTTTTGGATCGTACACAAGCTTCAAAGAGATCCTGTGGATGTCAAAGCAAAAGCACTTGTTATCGGGAGAATAAAAAGCTGTTTTAAATTTCCCTTTCAGTAAGATGTACACTTGTTTGTTTTAAACACTAAATCTTTTTTTGCTTAAATGTATTGACTGAATAAACACAGGTAATTACTTTTGCATTGGTCTTTTTGCGCACTGCAACTCTGATGTTCTTTTCTTGCAGGTAAATGTTGACAACAATATGAAACATAACTATGAACTAGAAGGACACAAAATGGTGGATGTTTTCCCATGCACACCCCCATTCTCATGACACCAACCAGGAGATATGGGCATCCTAAGACTGGTAGCCAGAATCATGGGTAGGATCAGTACTTTCAGGTCCTATCAGTTTGTGCTTCTCCTGGCTGCTGCGCTTGCTGTTGTAGCTTTTTACTACTTTGGCTCAGAGAGGCAGAACTTCTCCAGCACCACGAAGAGGATCAAGCAGACCCAGGCCAGCCACAACACCAACAGAAACGATGCCGACCTAACTGTGGACACCGTACTCTCGCACCCAGCTGGATCTGAGGAGCAAGGAGGGGAAGAGCTGGACGTAGGCGGAGAGAGCGAGGGATTTAGGTCCACGACAGGGAACGGTGATGCTGGTGACCATCGCTACCACGCGCTCATGATGTTCACTAAGGTGGACAAGAGCCGGAGCCTGCAGGACAAGTTCAGGGTGGCCATGTTGTCTATGGTTAAGCACGGACGCTTCCTGGAAGGTGAGGTGTTGGTCCTTCATTTTGTGAGCGACGAAGCCAGCAAAGAACTGGGAGAGAGGATGCTGCAGGAATTCCTTCTTGATGCAACGTTCAAGTACGAGGTAGGCAGTCTAAACCCGTGTCTCCACGGTGCCAAAGCTCTGTTATCTATTGATTTGAAAGATAAGAAGAAATCAGTTTTATTTCTACTGAAGCTGCCTTTAATGTTTGGTCTTGAAGTACATACTGTATGGCACTTTATAGATATATGTAAATTATATATAATGTATGTGTTTGTTGAGCTAAGTGAGACCAGGTAAAAGGAAATCTGTATTGGTAGTAAGATCTTAGAGGATTATTATTGCACCTGTCTTATATTTTAACTGCACAACTCGTTGTTTCTCACAGAATGCAATTCACTGTTTTTATGTTTCCCACCACTGTGTTTCATTTGCTAAATGACAATAGCTTCAGTGCAGCATTCCCACCTGCTAGGTTGAAGGTCTGCCACATCAACGATCCTAATGTTTATTCCTTTTATCTGATGAATATTATTAATGTTTGTCCATTAACTGGCCCCTGGCCTCCTCCTTGAGATCACTGTTAAGCAAACCCAGGGTTAGTGTTAGGTAGTCTGACAATGTCTGATGGCAAAAGTATTTTAACCCTTTTCTGAAGGGCCACACTCAAAGGTGAGGTGAAAAGCCCGAAGTCACAGACTGAAACCCAGTAGTCGTTTGAATAACGGGACACATCTTGGGACGACATTCGTAGTGTTGCACTCGATTGTACGCACGAAAAATGACAGAAATGGTTGTGTAAAGAATAATATAGAGGATCTTGTGAGAGAAGTTGCAGAAGTTGGACTGCTGAATGAAGTGGATGCAAACCCCAATTCTGATGTTGGGAAAGGTGTGAGAAAGGATTTTAACAATCTGACAAGCACTTCATGCGAGGCACACTGACCCCCTTAACTCAGGCCTCCTCTAGGAGAAAGACCTGTAGGTGCTGTTTGAAGTTGAAACACGTGGGGGCAGTGTTGGCCTTCCAAACTAATCCCTCACTAATGTGGATGCACCCCCCCTCCTCCCTACTTTGTTCTCTCTGCCAAAACAGCGGATTATGTCCCCTCTGTTGCATGAACTGTCCTGCCCCGTTTCTCCTCTTTTGTATTCTTCACAGAGCACAAGATCATAAACTTGTTTACAAATTACCGTACTTATCCCTTTCCAAATCCTCCTCGCCAGCCAGGCCTTTTCTCTCAGGAATGTCTCATCATCTACAACATCTGGTGTGGATGTTACAGCTCTGTATTAGCTCAGGCTGATCCCATGCCTGCTTTGGATTGGTTGGAGGTTTGCTCAGCTTGGCATGTTGGCAGGTTTTGAGCTTGTTGGTCTGATCGCTTCCTTTTAATTTCTCCCTCTATACTCAGACTGAGCTCAAAGTCTTGGAGGAGCGCAGCTGAAGTGTGTAAAACACTGGTTAAAGTACTGTTAGATCTGACAAGGGATGGTGAAGTGCTGTGAGACCTGGGTATAAAATCTATCTGTTGTGTACCAGGGTGTTAAAGAGGACCAGACAAGATCTCTTTTGCAAAAATACAACCCAAATTGGCACGCAGAGATTTCCCCCGATCTCTTCCTTTTCATGTACAGTATTACTCAGCCAATACCAATAATTGCTCTATTAAAGTTAGCTGACATATAAAACACATTGGTAGGAAATTTGTATTGGTAATATTCAGTCCTTCCAGGAAGTTGCGATGTTGCATTTGCACCAATTAACACAAATTCAACCAATCCCTGTTAATTAGCAAAATGTTGAGCCATGTGTCACCAAACTCACTTCAATGTTTCTATGTTTAGTTGTGACACGAACATCTCCACATTTACCCTGTTCAACAGTGCGACTTTATTCTCACTGGAACAAGCTACCTTCAATTGTAATGAATTATACAAAAAACAACCACAGCTATTTTTGTTAAATTTCGTATTTTGAAAAAATGCTTTAAAACGTTGCGACATGCATCACAATTATTTTGGAAAAAAAACGGCTGTGAAATCCGACATTACAGGTTGCAACAATCCCAAAGAAACCCTGCAAAATCTTGAAGGGACTGAGTATTAGCAAGATGTTGCAGTGTCATGGAATAATAAAAAAAAAAATAATTGTAAGGGTCTTTAATTAATAGCATAACAAATTGCTTGCTAATAAAAAAACAAATTTTTTGGTTATATTTACTCAAACGTTCATCCAGAAACCTGTCAGAAAAGTAGGATTTAGAAGCAGAGCGTCGCTGTGAAAATACAGTGTAGAAATTGTGAGATGTTTCATGTTTTCAGAACAACCTAAGCCTACGGTGCTGGTAGTTGTTGGTAGTGTGTACAGTGCAGCCTGATTAATACTGGTTTTGGATTTTGTTGGTTTATTGCATACATATTGGTATTGGTGATGTATGTCAGCTGTAAAATGTCCACCCAGTATGTAGCTTGGTCACAATAATTAAAAAAACTAATCTAAGGGATCTCAAATTGTGATATGATAAAAGTTACAATTGTTAGATATTTCATTATCAGACTTTTAAATGCCCCAATATTGATCAGTGTGTGCCTGAAAAATGTAGTGTTGACTGGGTTAGGATTTTGCATATCCTCTTTCTTTTATGTCTGGGGTGGACAAACTATGAATAAGCAACTGTTTCTAAATGACCTCAAACATATCTTTGGATAGGCGTGCTGACCGCTCACCCTAACATCCCTGGTTTGACTCTGACCGGGGACTTTGGGCACTTGTCGTTCCCCACTTTTCTCTCTTTTGGTTTCCTGTCATTTGTCTACTGCACTCTCTCAAATAAAGGCAGTAAAAGCCCCTCAATCCTAATTATGAAGGCATGTGTTTAGCTGTTTGACGCTTGCACTGATGTCAACATATCTGTAATAAGCTCAAATTGGCAGAATCACTCAGGCTCTAGTTAGCTGCCTGGGGAAAGTGCCTGGATCGTACTGGGAGGCGGTACACCCAGTGGTTTTATCATATTCATGGTATCATTCCAGACCAGTGCTTTTAAACATCGTGTTGTGCTATCACTGACGCGAGTACAGCCACTGTGTCTTCTGTCTCTCCTGATGTGCATGCAGAGACAAGTTGCCAAAGATACAGATGGGACGGGAACTCCCCAGGGGCAGACAGAGACATTGTATATGAGCATGTTGACATCCTTGTCTGCTCATCTCGAACCCTGATTCCCTTTTTAATTATTCATCTTAAAGGAGCACGATGGTGAGACGGCGGATATGCAAGAGTTTTAGCCTCCATCGCTCCCCAACAGTGGTAAATTCAATGACCCACTTGACATTCGCAGCAAACAGCCAACAGAGTCACACTGCCCAGTGCCCAGAGGCTGTGCTCATTACTGCTGATCAGCATTCACACAGTCCTTACACAACATACTGCAGCCCTGCACTCCAGCCGTCCCCTCATGAAATGTTTCCCTTTCACATCAGTTTTTATACTTTAGAACATTATGCAACCGACAACAGGGTAGAGTGCAATACTGTAAATTTGTAAGACCGAATCATGTTGTTAGGAAAGCCTTTGGGGGCCTTAAGAGCCTGTATGTGGATCCTGAACCACCTTTCTTAAGTTGTTTTATTTTCTTCCCGTCTTTATAGAGTTCCTCCTGAAATTAATAGCAGGTAACAGGCAGTCTGTGGTGGCCAGTGTTCTGACTGCTTTGTAAACTTACTATCTTCCTCCTAAATAAAAGGATACTGTTGTTTTAGAATTATACAGATTTTCCTGGGAGTTATAGTAAGCAATCCTGGCCACAAAAGTCAAAAAAGGAGATTTAGCTCAGTACTAGCGTCCCATCAATAAAACAGTGCAACGACTGCCAAATATGTCCAGCCTCTGAAGTCAACTATGTGCAGCTAGTTTTGTTTGTGAACTAATAATATCACTTCACCAAATACACTGAATGCCAAAAGTAGAAGAAGTATGTATAACAGAACAGTATTTATTTTATGACTGAAGAAACAATGTTGTCCAAAAATCTGTGATCTTTGAAAAATCTGGGTTGGAGGAGGGTGCGGTGGGGTTAGGGTTAGTGCTATTGGGGGGGGTTTACTTTCTGTAAGCAGTATAATGTTCTTCAATCTGAAGCCAAATGTTGAATCCTTTTCCCAATGAACAGCTGCGTCTCGCACATTTATTTGTGTTCAACTCCCGGTGAAGGGTGGGTCCTTAACTTGTCCTGCACAAACCACAAGTCCTAATTATAAAATAGTAGCTAGTACTTAAGCTCTTAAACTAGTGAGCTTCAATTGTGTGTTCAAGCATTTCAGTTTTCAAGGCTGGCTAGTTGGTGAACTCCACTGGTTCTGGTGCCTTTTATCAAATAAAATGCTGCAGAAGCAATGGCTACTTTATTGCTTTTTTAGAATAAATTTCAAAGTACTTAAAGCAATCCTTTATGTGGCACGAATAAAAAATATAACTGTTGGTCCTCTTGTGCAAGATACAAGAGTGAATGCATAGCTGCTAACGTGACAGAATAGCAGTCAATTGCTCACTTTGACTTTTAAATAAAAAAATGTGCCATTAAATCACACTGCCAACAGCTGTCCAGGTCAGCACTGATTTCAAATGATAGAGGGCTTACCTTAATCTGCCAGGGATCATTAAACTATGTATTCCCATCGAGGCACATGGTGCCTGATTTATAATACAACAGCCGTATTGTCCAGCTTTTATCTGAAGCCTTTAAATGCACACTTACTGATGTCAGGCTTAGCCAGGAAAGTCCAGACTCTCCTCAGGAAAGACTGTTTGTCCCAAACCCAACATATGTATTTTTCGTCCTGCAGGAAAGCTTTAATGATAATCAGTGCTTATATTTAAAAGAAAAAATCCTCTTTCAGTAATCTGTTGAGATATCTACTGTACACGATCAGAGCAGAAACTGCTGCCTCACAGCTGTTGTGGGATTTAAAGCTCAGAGGAGCAGCACTGAGAGGCAGGAAACCTGGACACAAGAAGACAATGTTTATGCGCCTGACTGTCATATGAAGTGGTTAAAACCTTTTAAAATGACACAAGGATGGGAGTGTGTTATAAAATAACATCTCTGTTTTTAGTTTTCACCATGGTTCTCTCTGCTAATTGTAACCGTAGAGGTTTTATTTGAGAGGTTACATGAAGCAAGAAGTTGTCTGTAGTGGATTGATCACGAGTGACCTCTAAATCACTTTTCACGCTTATCTGCCAAGTTTTGAACAGTATCTTTGTTTTGTATGTACGGCTTGTCATTTTTGGTTTGTTCTGATTTTAAAGGACATAAAAAAGTAGATGGATTCATTTTCGTTAGCGTCTATCACAACTTGTGAACTTAAAACCAAAAAATGTTCACTTATGAAGTTGGAAATTACACATCAGTGGGTCATTCAAATTGACAAATTGCTTTAGGAACAAAATCATTTGGACTTCTGCAGAATATTTGGTCAGCACATGTCCCATACACCTCTGATTCTTATAATAAAATGCAGCCGTGAAGGCTTGTTAAGGTGAGGCATTCACTGCCTAAACAAACTGGAATGTAGCCTTTTAAGATGAGGAAAACACACATTTAAGCCCTGTTATAATCACAAAAATCTCAGATGACATGTACCAAATAGTCACATAAAATGATATCTTAGGTAGTGGCATGTATTTCCCAACTCTGCTGCAGTTGGGACATTGCTGTGTTAACTCGACTCTACTGCATTGATCTGCTGTGCAGGTGTCGTTCCATGACGTGGCGGCTCTCACACAGAAGCTGTTTCCTATCGTGGAGGCCATGCAGAAGCACTTCAGCGCTGGCTCTGGGGCTTACTACAGCGATGCCATCTTCTTCCTGTCTGTTGCCATGCATCACATCATGCCTGAAAGTAAGAAAAAGCACATTTTGTCAGATTTCTTTGTCAGTTAAATACCTACAAATATTGCTTTAGATTGAGAGTTTTGGCTGATCAATGAGTGTCTGATTGAGTCCCCAATGTAAAGTCCAAAGAATGATCTCCCACCGGTGACTGGTTGTAAATTTAATCACTGATGTATCCATGCAGATTGTTTTAATTTAGAGATATCTTTCTTTGGAATTTCTGCCACCACACCAAAACAACTGGATTGAATTGAATTTTATTTGTGCAGCTCTAAGCATTAAACACAATTACACTTACAGCACAATGTTCTCTTTAGAAGCGATGCCTCATAGATGTGAAGTAGATTTTGGCTGTTTTTCAACAGATCATAATTAAAATGTGTAGAGACAAGATTGATTTAAACAAGCATTAAACATAAACAATTTAATTTTTTCTGTGAAGTGAAATAATTTTAATAATAATATTGCAATAAAAAAAACTGTATTTTAAAGTTTGCTATTGGAGCTACCCTTAAAATTTTGATCAAGAATTGTACCTCAATGTCACTTTCTCTATATGATTTGATAAATAAGTTACAATATATTGCTTTAAAATGTGTATTTTGCTTTGATTCTGTGGCAGACCATCTTTTAAATTCACTCAGATGCTCACTTCTCTATCCTGGCACTGATGGTGCACAGCTGGAAAAGGTATTATGGGCAGGTATCTAACAGACACGTGGCAAGCTGCAGAGTTCCTGGGGAGTGAGGAAGGAAGGATGTTCCGTCACTGCTGCCCACATTAGTGCCCCCTGTGTTGGTGCTGACCGATGGAGGAACCACCTCCGGTGTGCACTGTTGTGGTTCACTTCAGTGGATGTGCATCATGGGGTATGACTCCGCACATTCAAACTATTGGGCTTTAGGGTTTGAATCGATAGTCACCACATGTTAAAGTCTCTGTCTTGCAGACAGCAGGGCCCTGTCCCGTTTGAGATTTTAAAACTGCACGGAGAACAGTGGGTACGATTTAAACACCTAAGATCATCGCTTTTTAAAATATTTTTATATATATATATATATATATATTTTTTTTTTAATAGGGGTGCCCAAATCACCAACAGAGGGTATAGTGATGTGTCTTCTCCTCTGAAGCCAACAGTTTCTGTTTTTCAGCAGTTAGGTGCATTTAAATATTTTTCATAAACATGGCAGTACTGGAATTTAGTTTAATTTGCATGAGCTGAATTTCTTCATTTATAAAGCTTTCCACCAAAAAAAGATGCTGTGCACATTTGAAGGCTTGACAAATCAAATTCGCTTTCTTTAAAGGTTTTCTATAACACATAAAAGTATGCTATTTACATTACTCGGGGATGGATATCAATTAGGGAGCAAAAAAGGAAAATTGTGAAGAAAAGATGAGCGTCAAAAGGCAATACAGGATGATAAATAAAAGATTGTATTTGGGGGAAAATGCTTGAGTGCGTGGTTGTCACTCAGCTGTCAGTTCTGAAAAGTAATTTGTGGTGGAGCACAAAGTTGTTTTGAACAGATTTTAAAAATATAGCCAATGTGGCATTGGGTGTATTGTATGATGTTTTTTTTTTTTTTTTTCCCCAGCAGTCCCTTGTATGAAGTGGAGGTGTGCGTCTGATGGTGTGTCACGTTGTGTCCTTATTGATCAACCACGTGAAGCACCCGTCTGCTCTGTGTATCCAAGTGGTCACACATTTCTATTTGAAGAATGCTTTCATCTATAAAGGGCATAATGTGGTTGTCTTAACAGAGAGAGTGGGGGTGCATGGGGCTTCACGTCCTCCTTCTTCTCTGATGTAGCCATTTTTCTGAAACTGTCTTCGTTCAGCGAGCCTCGCAGCAGACACAGAACGTCGTTTTTGATTAATGACAGTGAAACAAAAGTGATATCCACAAATATAAATAGCAGCTGCAAGTGGGAGGGCTGGAAATTTAACATCCTCTAACTTGTGAAGTGGGAGCAAGTTTAACTCTTAGAAAGACTTAGAAATTGACTGGCTGCAGATGGGGCCTTTCAAGCTAGATGCCACACAGTCATCCTTTAAAACACTCTATTTTGTACTCAATATTTTTTATATAATAAGTTAAATAGAGGTGGGGGTCATACGGTAATTTCTTGTATAACTACCCCACAATATTTTGCTTATAATGAGAGTAAAAGTCTCATAACACAAACAAATGTTAAATACATGATACTATATTGCAAAACAGCAGTCAATCATATATCACAATATCTTTGTTACTGAAGATAAAATGATTGTTTAAATACAATAGACAGTACAGTGTTGCACACCTGGCAGACAGACTGTGGAGAAAGAGAATGTTTCTTAGAAACAACTATAAACCATTTATTTACCATTAACAAACACGCTTTAGTAGTAAGTTGTGACCAAGATACATACTGAATGGGACAATTTACAGTTGAAAAATCAGTCTAGCACTAGAGTCGCTTTGGTTATGGGCCTTCATCAGGCATCAGAAACAACTAAAGCTGCAGGCTATGACAACCTATCAAGAAGCAGAGCCAAATATCGAACACCTCATGTAATAATAAATACATAAAATAAAACATCCATAAATTGTGACTAACAATATTTGTCAAAATACATAATTGATGACTGATTTTGACATATACTGCATGATGCCTGACCAAAGACCATCACCAAAATGTTGTGTCTCCAATAAGCTCGGTGTTGACAGTGAGCAGGAATTCAACCTTTACTTCCACAGAGAGCTGAGACAAAATGTGTACCAAAGTGTGGAGAATAGCTCAGGACGGTTAGCTGACTCCGGCTATCTCGCAGCCAAACTAGAGATAGACTGAAGAGTGACTGATGTGAGTTCTCAGTTTGTGTTTGTGGAAGAGATATCGTCTCTGGCTGCGAGATGCGAAACCGTGGAAGTCGAGAGAACAGTGTGTGGATTCTACTTTATTCAGTCTGTCCCTGCCAGGTAGCTAACACCAGCTAGCCAGCTGTCTGCAGATATTGGGCTGATGTCAACACAAACAGTGCAGAAGAATTAGTAAGCAGACTTTCAGTTTCAGCCTTGCCTGTGCTCAAAGCGGAGGTGCTGTTCTTATTTGAACTTGTAACGTGACAGTCAATTCGTAGCTGTATGGGACATCTTTTATTTTTTTAATCTGTGTCATATGTGTGTCATGTTTTGCATTTGCTAAAGAAAAAAAATCCTTGGTCCACATTTTTATATTCAGGGAAACAACAGTGTTGCAACATAGAACTTCATGTGAAAATTGTAACAGTGGATGAAGCTTACAGACCATGATGGCTTAAAGAGGAATGTATTTTCACCATCTGTCCTTTGAGGATGAGAAATAAAATTGCACAATGGAAACCTGTTGTGATTAATGATAAGGTTCCTAAGAAACACTGTTTTTGTTCATGGAGGTGTTCCATGATTTGTATCCCCTCAAGAGGTCTCAACATGCTGGGACTTGAGTCTCCTACGGCCCGACCTCTATTTTCCACCCGAGGTAGAAGTGGGACTGCTAATGTGCAAATTGCTTTGCTTAAGTGAGAATGATGGTTACCCGGAGGTGAGATATAGCTAAACTATTGGTTGTCATGCAGGCCTAAAATAACACAGCAGATAAGCAATCAATATCAGTTTCTGGAAAAATTCTAAGACGAAGCACCAAAAACATGCGATAAAACCTCTGAATCATTCTGAATCAGTTCTAACACGCAGCGTATTCCTTTTTTAAAACACAGTCAAACTTTAGTAGACGTCCCCTCTGTGCCCTCACTGTTTCTCCAGAGCTAATAACTCTTTCCGATGGATTTTTGATCTAAAATAACAAGCCAGGGTTGAACATGAGTGGGATGGTCGACTGGATCTCAATGTAAATGTCCTGACTTCCTCTCTCTACTGTAGTAGACCAGTGAGCGTAACAGACACATTATGGTGTCTGTTAAGTCCAGAGCAGCCGGGATTGCACAGTTATACAGTTCATCAGGTCCACAAAGGAGACCCTTTGATTTGTAGTAGTAGAAAATCCATTGAAGGACCACACACTGATAGTGGAACAACCCCAACTTTAAAGCAATGTGGATGTATTACAACAAATGCAGTGTGGTCAGAGTCAATGTCTCACTGACTGACACATGTTTAAATGCACATGTGCCACAGTTTCATATAGACCTCTCTTGAATTTGCAATGAAACCTAATAAAATTATTATTCCTATTTATTATCCCACGGAAATCCCTACTTTTACTCAAAAGCAAGCCAGATTTTGAGGTTTTTTATGTGTGTATGTCCAGTTTTAATCACATTACTTTGTGTGACTTTGTGAAGTAAATGTCATTACTTTGAGTATCGTCATTCTTGTCTGGAAAGCCACTTAAAACTGTTTTTATTGATTGGTAGGGTGCCAGACGTAGCCTAGCTAGCTTGTCATGCTGTGCAGATCACTTTACTGTTAAATGGTTAATGAAATAACTGCCTACGTGCAACGGCAAATATTAAAAGGGCATGGTTTACTTTTAAAAGTCAAAGGGGCTAGCAGGCATATTTTCATAATTTCTAGCTAATGTTTTGAAGCAGTGGCAACATTGTAGTGACGTTCAGTAATTTGATTTAACTCAAAACTTGATTTGCAGTCCAGCAAAAATAGCCTTGTTTTGTTATTTAAAAATTGTATTATTTTGAAAAAATAATTAATAACTGAAAAAGGGATTTAAGGAATTATACTATTTAAGAAAATAAAACACTAACTACTGATTAGTATTTAATGATAAACTCATGATCTCAAGCTTATTTGTGTTTTAGTTTTCTCTTCTTTATATTTTAGAAGCATTTTCTGGTGCTTACGACTAGAGGACCTTGTTTACTGCAGTTGAAACACATCAACTTTTGGATGCACGGGAACATAATGAGTGTGCAAATTAATTAAGCGATCTCCTTTTAAAAAAAAAAAAAAAAAAAAAAGCTGTGTTTGTTGGTAAAAATCTGTAAAACAATGACTCTTACATATAGGCTGTAAGTGCTCACATCAAGAGTGACATTAGGGCTTAATGAGGTTGACCCACTTTCTCCCTGAAAAAAAACTGTGATGTTAGACAACATTGTGATTTGTGTTTTGTGGCTTAGTTGAGGACTGTCTGATCTGAACGGAGCCTCAGGCGAACTCTAAACCCTGCTAACCAAATTATTCCTGTGTGTACCTGCCCATGGACGTCTACACCCACGTATATGGGCAAGATTGATTATAACCTCCACGTATTTACTTATTTACTTACTTATTTATGTCAGTTGTTGGAAAAAATTCAATTCTCCAAAAAACATAAATATTTAAAGGTTACATATACACAAAATGGGCGCTATAGTTGGCTGTAGTGCCCAACATATACCTTCTTTGCCTAAAAATAGTTAAAAGTTAAAATACATACAACAGCCCGCAGCACAAATCCCTACTTTCACCTTCACAGGACTTTAGCATTGAGTCATTGATCATCAAACCCGACTACATCAATGTTGTAACAACTTAAGACCCCCTTCCTGTTATACTCCCACCAGTTAAGCCCCGTTCATACAAACAAACGGAGCCGACCACTCGGAGATTACTCTTTCGAGCCCCCTCTCTGTTGCCACAGTACATGAAGGCATTGTGATGGCAGCTTCCTTGTTTGGAGAGCACAGAAAACACCGTGTTGCTGAGTCTTCTTTTTCCGTCACTAGTTTCAACAGAAACCACCAATCGAATACTAGCACCAACTTGTAGTCCAGCTATGATCTCCCCCACAGTTACATGTATACCTTTCATTGTTCTACTTTGACTTTGTCGAGGCCAAAGTTGTGTTGTTTTTTTCTCCTTTCTTTCCAAATTAGTTCTGTGATGTTTGGCCCCCTTTGAGATCAGTCCTGCATTGGACTTCACCTGTCTATTTTTACCCTTACTATTAGGTTTTAAGATGATTATGGTCCAAATACAAACTTTTAGTTGAGTTGTTTAAGTGCTGTTTTGTAATTACTTTAAAGCAACATTGACGTACATTATGAAACAGCATAAAGATGGGACATAAGCATCCAGATTAGAGGAGCAGATTAACAACTCATACACTGTTGTGAAGGGGAAATACATTTTCCTCTTCACTTTTTACACATAAACTCTACCTGTAGGTTCTTATTCTCCTTCTAAAAAACATATGTTGTTTACATATTGTATGGATGTCTTTCTAATAGTAAACATTTTGTTTATTTGATTGCTGCTGGATCTCAACAGGGCCCTGAAAGACTGAAACAGATCTGAAATCGGGTTGACTTGAGCTCTGAAGGTCTATAAAGCAGACAACTCATGCAGCTCATTATTTTTAAGTACCCTCATCCCTTAAGTCCCTCAGCACCAGTTGCGCCAATTCTGCAGCTGTCATCAAACCAATAAATGTTTACTGTCTTCAAACTTTGACAGTGTGTCTTAAGCTGACAAACGTTTTCATCAGTCTAATAATCATGTTGTGCTCCTGGCACACCATCTCTGAGTCTTTCCCATCCTTTCATCACCATGGCAACCAGCAAAACATAGGAAGCTAAAACAATGAACAGATGAGGGTCTGAATATCCTGGATACTGCTGTTACAATTTCAGTGTTACAGTGTTAATCATCTGCGTGCACACACAGCTGCCAAATGTGCACTTTTTTTAATAGTCATGCTCAACTTTCTCTACATTTCTTCCCATAATGTATAGACATTTATAGGTAATTCTGGTTTTTTTAGGTCAATGACAGCATTATAGAAAGCAAAAGTCAACCACAGAGAAACCATTTTAATTGTGTCAAGCTTTTCAAGACTCTTGTCAGAGTCTGATCTTATTTCCTCTAACTGCGTATTCCTGGAAGGACTCCTAAAAGTGATTAGGTAGACGTCAGTCACTGGAGTAGTCAGAAAAACTCAACCTATGTGCACAGATGACTCAGAAGTACATTTCCTGGGATAATTTAGAACATATTGAACTCAATTTGCCATTTATTAAGCCTGGTAAAAAATAAATGATTATTTATCATTCACATCGGGCAGACAGAGGTCACTTGTTCCGTGTCAAACAGCAATCATTCTTTTAGTTGCTTATTCCCTCGGTTACACATGTTTAATCTAAGATGTTTTGAAGTTTAATGCCACCTAATCAATGCTTTGTTGCGCTCCTCTTTCAGGTCTGACACGCATAGTACAGCTTGACCTGGACCTGAAATACAGGACGAACATCAGGGACCTTTTCCAAGAATTTGACCATTTTCCTCCAGGAGCCGTAATAGGCATCACCAGAGAGATGCAGCCAGTCTACAGGTAGGCAGAACACATCAGCTATAGGGTCGTACAAAAGTCAGAAACACTAAAAAATAAAGTTTGGGCGTGGTTAAGCGCTGACATTTATTACAAAGTCAGTTGTCCCACCTGAAGGGGTGCAACAAGACTTCTCTGCTCCTGCTCAGTCTGCCTCTATGAGTCTGGGCCAACTCCTAGCTTGAAAATATGTAGGCTAAATAGTTCATTTGATTTCATAAATATTTAAATGGTTTAATAAATAATTTAAATAATAGTTATGAATGTTTATTTTCACTCAGGTTGTTGTGGATGCTGTATGAGACACTCAGCTTTGATATCATAAATGTATTTTCACAATTTTAAGCCACATTTCCAGAGGCTTTAAAATAAAAATGTGTCCAATCAAAAGTCCTAAACTGATACAGTGATGTCTTCATGACTTGGGGGACTCGGTGTGAGTGAGTTCGTCTATGCGAAAGATTACTAGCTTCAAAATGTGTAAAATGCTAAAAATATCTTAGTATCAAGTTTATTTTGCAAAGCTCATATATTTATGTGTAGAACTGTTGAGAGCAGCCACATTAGCAATATCGTCTTTCTTTTATGCCTCTCTCTTTAACACTAATGGGTTAAAAGCCACTATACTAATCTCACACACTGTTGTTGACCCCAGATGGATTTGCGTTTTTATGGGCCTCACATTCACAGCTATTTTCTCTCACAGTTTCTAAGTGAGAAAGAACATCAGAAGTCTCTTGTACAGTTTCACAAGAACCTCAGCAGTGTTACCAGTCAGTGATTTTCCAACTACAAGTGAAAATCTATCAATTTAATGATTATCAGTGCAGGATTTAAGATAGGACGTGTTTAAAATGTGTTTCAATAAAGTGAAAAATCTAAACTGGAATTAATATAGACATGGAAATGATCAGATCCTCTTCAAATATGGAGTTGGGAGGTTGATTCATTTCATGTAGTTCTCAAGTAGAGTGCTAATGTTTTTACCAGTTTTATATTTTATATTTGTATATAAAATAAATCATATTGGTGTGGGTTTTTATGTACTGAAAAGTGAAAATACCACTCAATTTAAATAGTTTCACTATATTCCTAAATCTGTATAGTATCATACCTGAATCATCACAGTGTTCTTCAGCTTTTACATAATTTCCAGGCAGAATCTATTGAATATGTGACCAAAATTGTAACTGAATAGAAGCCCTTGAACATTGAATGCTAATGCACTACTTGAATGTTGAATGAAACTTTGAAAAACATTGACGTGTTGTTCTTCCAATAATTCTAAGATAATTTTTACCATTGTACAAAATCAACCAGCCACAAACCCCAAACTGCTCAGAAGCAAACTTTTACCTTGGAAGTGCCGGTGCTGCAAGATGGGGGTAAATGATAGCAGCTATAAAGTCACAGTTGCAAGATACACTGTGCAAATGCAACACCGACAGATGATGATGATGATGATGATGATGATGATGATGATGATGATGATGATATTTTCATGAATATGCTATTATAAGTCCCTAATGCCAGATAAATAATTGGGGTTTGGCAGAATATAAGCAGAGAGATGCCTCTCGTCAGGAAATGTTTTGCTCTCATCCTGTGATTCAGAAGTGTCCTCTGTCTCTTTGTCAGACCTGTCTGTAGTAAATAAACGACATGCTCATCCTTAGAACTGACAACCATGCGAATATGATCCACATAATCTTCTCTAACTGGTATTATTTCTTGACATCAATCAAGTAAACTCATAGAACTCCCCTTGGTGGCACTCCTCCCTCGTCTCATCCTCAGCTCAGCACACCAGTTCAGTAGAAAAGACTAGGCCGCTTTCTCAGACGTTTGTTTTTATCCTCAACAAAACCAGCTCATATCTTAGCAATTTGCACACCAGAAGGATGTGTGTGGAAGAGCCACAAGCAGCATCAAAAGTTTGCACTAAATGCTTAGTTGGATTCTTAGTGTTTGCCGTTACTAAGTTCTTGTACAGTTGCTTTGTCATTGAGAAGTTTGGCATATTTTGTTGAATGGAAACAAAAGTTGTGATTTCAGTTCCTACAGTTGAGATAAACGACTGCCCCTGTTGGCAGACTCGAGTCTTATCATATTAGTCTGGGAAGTTGCTGAGTAAAAGGAAGAACTTTCTGTACTGTCCGTCCCACGTCTGTGACTTTTGAATATAAATATTCATCATTGCAAATAATGAAGATACACACACTCCACAATAATGACACCAGCTGTTATTGATTTAAATCAAATTTCATACTAATTACTGCCAACGAACTGTGAGTGTGTGTGTGTGAGTGTATACGTAAACAAGGGACTCAGATTTTCAAGCTCTTTGTTCCTCAGCTGATTTTTCCATCCCTCTCCAAGATCGTAAAACAAACATGCCTGGTCCGTTTAGACTACTTCACTGTTTTCCACCCAGGCATGGCATCAAAACAGGACATCACTGTGTGTGTTTGGGGGGGGGGTGGGGGGGGGGGTGTGTGTGTGTGTGTGTGTGTGTGTGTGTGTGTGTGTGTGTGTGTGTGTGTGTGTGTGTGTGTGTGTGGTAAGACTACATGAGGCAAGGTCAGATGGGAGGTTTCATTTAGCAGCTGCTTACTGAGATAAACATGCTGGCAGGTGGTTTGACAGTGTGTGAATGAAACAGATTAATCAGAACTTTTTGATTTTGCCGTTAAAATAACTCACTGCTTTGTTTGTTCTTTCATAGTTCTTTCATTAAACTGCCTCCACCATATTAATGAAATGTTCAAAGGCATTATGTTCTGACTGCAGACAAGTGCATGTGATATTGAGTGTTGTAAGTGTACAAGTACGATATTTATATGACTTTCTGCACATTCACATCTTGTGACTTACTTATGACTGGGGATCTCTTGGCTTTAGACAAAAGGGAATCTTAGTTTTAAAAGTCTCTGCCAATAATTAATGTTCACATTGGGACATATGTATAATATAAGATGCCCCAAGGTGATCAGAAGGAATGGTATTAGGGGCCAATCCAGACATATTTTACAGTACTGGAATAGGCTAAAATAAACTGACTGAAATCCCCTCTTTACCTTACTTTAACTATGTTATGTCCACATCTGTTGTTGTAGCACTGCCAGTGTGAATGTATTTGTGTGCACTGGTCTGTCTCGGAGTTCTGACATCCGGATTGGCAAAATACACACATTCACTGAGCTGCCACGCAAATTATCATTAGTAAAGAGTAGCAGTGTAGGAAACATTCAGGTTGCAGCTTCCCATTTTTAGCTGAGACAGATGTTTTCACCAATAAAAATGTCAAACGTCATTGGCAGCAGCAGATCATATCAACTGTCTATCATTTGTCTGTTGTTGGGTTTGTGTGCTTTCTGCAGCCGGAGTCTTTACTCAGCCAAAGATTCTTTGTGTGGGAAGAACCACCACTCTGTAACACCACTGTACAAATTAGTGTTTTTTTTGTAGTTCTGTTAACTCTAACGGAGTGCTACCTCTTCTCTCTAGTTACAATACTTGCATTTTTACAGTTAAACTTTTTTTTTTATTAATAATACTTTTGGCATATATATAGTTTTTTATGAGGACCTCCAGTATTTAGATCAAGAAGCTAGTGAAAAATAAAGTGTGCCAAATTTAGTAGCCTATAGCTATTATTTTAATGTGTCAGATAATCAACATGTAGGTAATATAAAAGTAATATATACAGCGTAATAGTGATTTGTTGGATAACATCATTATTATGGTGTACAAAGTTGAAGTGAAATAAGGATGTATGTGAAAATTTAGTATTTATATTTACATGCGAGACAATAAAGCCTAAATGTAAAAGCTAGGGATGTCAGGTTTCTGCATAAGAAGTTTTAGAAATGGAGTTGTAGTTTTCCTGCCAGGCCCCAGTTGGCACCAGCATCTCCAAACAGATCTGTATCTCTACCCTTCCACTGAACTGGTTCAATGGGTTACTAACCCTGGGAAACCCCTGCAAATGTTGTTCCTGTGGGCCCGGATGCACTCATTTAAAAACACACTGCAACATAGCAGGAGAACGTGCCTCTTAGCATGCACAGCCTCACTGGTTGTCACACAAGCTGTCACAACTCGTTGTCTGTCTGTTGGGGATTGGCGATACTGAGACTCTCAAGGATATCGCTCTCCATCCAGTCAGTAGTGGTCCACAGCTTGGCTATAATAGTTCAAAGAACGACACATATTTTTTGGTGGATTTTTGTGGTGACTTGATTTATTGACTGTAAATTTCACCTGTAGCTGCCGCAACTTTGCATATTGAGTAGAAAGTGACAAGTAGATAGCGCCCTCTGCAGTTTTAGACAGAACGGGCAAACCAGAAACTGCCTCTAGATAGGACCATTTGCATTTTCCACGTGTTTCACAGCCACCATGGTTTCTCCCTCATGGTAAGAAAGGGGGTGGGGGGGGACAAGTGAGTCGCAATCTGCAACTACACTGCTAGATGCCACTAAATCCTACACACTTGACCTTTAAATGTTTTCTTCAGAACATTTGAGGAACAAACATGGTACTAGCCTGTTAGCCCAGTGAGCTGGCTTGTTAGCCAATGATCAATGGACCTTGTAATATTTTAATTTTGAAACTTGGTATTCATGATGCATTGTGTCAGTGCTCTCCACTGGAGTGTTTTCCTGTGTTGAGTGGAGAGGGCTCTCGGCTCCCACTCTCTTTATGGTGCTAATGGACGGAGCATTATGCAGGAGAACACATCCTCCCACCAGCCGCATTCAGAGCACATCCTGCCACTGAAAAGTTCATTATCAGAAAAAAAAAATGCCCCGCGTCTTTTCCCTGCAGCTGCATTTGTAATGTTTTAAAACCCAAGAGACAAGACCCACTTACATAAGTGTCACAGTCAAAGCCACAGACACACACAATGAGAGACATTAGCAAGAAGCAAGTCACTCTCTTTACACGTTTTGTATTGAGTCTCCATTGTGATACATCCCACATAGTCCCAGGTTTTGCTGGAATCAAATGTTGTATGTGAAATATTTAATTTTGCAGTCAGATGGCTGAGAGCTGTGTAGTACTCTCACTGTGACTAAGACTACATTCTGATCAAAACTTGGTTTTGCAAGTAGTAGATTGAAAAGATTGTACCATCATGTGCCTCTAACTCAATGCACAGGAGATGTTAAAGGCTAGAATAAACCTTGTTGTATATGGTATGCAATAAATTAATTGATTTATAGTTTCTATGATTCTGCAAACTTGGATTTTAAATATGCACTAACATTGTATGCTTTCTTGTTTGAAGGCCCCTTTTTTTCCCATCATTTCCAGATTTTTTGTTCAACGTGTCCTCTTCGTGTTGCCAAACTACACCGTCATAAAAAGCACCAGACATTACATTTGTGTACCCCAGACCCAGACTCCCCTCTGTCAGCAAGAGTGTTTTACGCAGCTTTTAGAGGGCAGCCTGTTTCTTGTCCTGAACAAAATGGAGGACACATTTGGATGAGATACCAGCACAGAATGTCCCCGTCACCTGCTAATGCTTTTCATTCTTTTGCAAGTGAGAGAGACGATTCCCTTGAAAGGTTGGCAGGGAAAATTGGGGGCAGGAGATGATGGAGTTGTGAACTGGCAGAGCAGGAGAAGAGGCACTTGCAGGAGCACTGATCTGAGCCAAGAGGTTATAGTATGTCTAGTTTAACTGAGTCTGGTTTGATTGTACTGGTACAAAGGAACAGAAAAACATAGCTGCATTCTGTACTCCTTTAAATCTTCTCAAAGGCCGAAGTGACCAGTTTCATTGAGTTCTGGTGACTGATTACGACTTGATTTTCTGAAGTGATTGATATACTGTATATATTGAAATATAAACATAATTTTGAAATCTTTGCTGTCCTCTGAACCGCTTTAGCTGCAGTATTGTTTGTAAAAATAAATCTATATAAGTAGAAATATGTAATGTAAAAAGTAAATTGTGTCACATCTTTTAAACTACGGAAAAAGTCAGTCACATATTATGGCCATCATAACACTTGAGATACTGCAGTATGTTTCACTTAGTACATTCTTATGTCAAAACAGCACAATGGAAAAGTCTGTGTAAATGTTCCCTGACTGACTGTGTTCACCCTGAATGTGTCTCAGGGCACGTAGACCCAGTGTATGTCTTTTAAAAATGATAAATGCTCCACAGGGGCCACAAGTCCCCAGCTAGCAGACCAACAGACTGTATACAACTGTGTGGACAAGCTACAGCTGCTGAATATAGGTCAGTACAGTAATAATATCAAAGCATGATTCACAGAATCTGCTGCTCCCACTAGATTTGATCAAGAGGGAGACGTAACTGCTACATATGAAGCACAATTATTCCACGTTGTTTTCTCACATACATTTACCAAGAGAGCAGGCAGCTGATTGTAAATTCCACAAATTTGTTGATGTGATTTTTGTTTTGTTTTTAAACTACCTGCCCTGCAACAGCTTTATCTGTCTTCCAACCCCCATGTGTTTTAACCTAAGACATTTCTCTATTAATATTTAATCCACATCCTCAGGCTTGGCCAATACTAAGAATAATCTCAATTCTGTCGAGATTGTGTGCGGGTACACAATGCATACAAGAAAGGGTTCCTTCCCATTCGTCCTCGTGTTCAGTAGGAATGAAACATCATTGCACTGGCTGTTAGTCAGCATACAGGGAAAAAAGGACATTTTGTACTTTCTTGAAGCAAACACTTCACTCCCAAAAAAAATAAAAATAGTACACCCAGTGGTCTCCATAGACTTGACAGAAGTATAAAACCACAGCATGAAAGTGGTGTAGTAAGAAAATGACAGATGTAGACAGGACCATGTGTTATTTCCTGCATTTCTTATTTGTCCCATAGGAGTTTTGTCATACATCACAGGGTTGAATAGGCAAATAAACACTCTGTGATTAAAAGGGGGAATATGGTCTTTTCCTGGATGCTGAAGGACTGTCCCAGGTTGGCTAAATTGAACTTGCTCTTGCCCTTTTTTTTGGATTCTCACAACACTTAGGACAAGTGCACAGCCGGGACTGAATTAAAGGACCAGTGTGTAAGATTTTGCAGCATCTAGCAGAAAGTTGCAGGTTGCAACCAACTGAATACAGTTCATTCACACATGCATTGATTCTATAAGTCTCTGGAACCCTGTTCTGTTGGGTTGAGATCTGGTGGCTGCGAAGGCCTTAGCATATGATTCACAGCCTCTTCTTATTTATCAAACCATTCGGTGTCCCCTTTGATAGGGGCATTGTTATCATGGAAGAGACCACTCCCATCAGAATAGATATGTTTCATCGTAAGATAAAGGTGATCATTTGTACTGAATCAGTTAGAGCTACAAACCAAATATGGTGCCTCTTTCGAATTCTTGCCATTCAAAAGTCTTGCTGTTCTTGATGAAAGGTCCGGCTTAAATGAATTCTTCATGAATTTCTTTCAGACATATTTAGTAAGACTTTGAACATCTGGCCCAGTTTAAAAACCTGTGTATTTTACACAGACACCTTCCATATTCTTGTAATACCATTGCACCATCTCTCTGCAATTCAGTATTTTAGATGTGGTAAAAGAATTTCCTTTAATTTCCCTCGGGATAAATAAAGTATCTATCTATCTAAAAGCGTTGGCGATAAATACTAATACTGGAGTAACAAACTGTATTTTGCTAATTTGAGCAATTATATGTCAGGGCTGCAGCTTACCTAGATCAAATTTTTCATGCAACCTACAACTAACATGGGGGCCAGCAAGTGCTATCTATTACACCAGACTGTGTTGCCAATGTAAACTTTGGAAATAAGACAATAATAATAAACCCCATAAAAGGTCTTACTTGTGTGCTTACAAATGCTTGTTCAGTGAAGCTTTGTGTGTCATTTAGCTGCTTCATAGTTGGTGTGTTGGCAGAACAGGGTGCTGAGTTGGCACAAGCCTCTGGCACTCCACCATGCTCTGACACTCCTGGACCAGCTCTCTTCCTGTTTTTGGCCACAGTGCAGTTTGTTCAGCAAATGTGGACCGAAACAGAGTTGACCCTCACTTTTCTACGTGTACAGCAGCCTAAACATACATAAGAGTAAGACATTTCACCAGTGGTGTACAAGTTCCAGACTGTGTAGAGGGATGAGTTCAGATTCAGAAAGCACAAAAAGTGATAGTGTTTTACAGGAAGCTGGGTCACACATTCCTGACGTATCTCCACCTGCATGTTCCAGTCATCCTATATTTTAAGCACATGAATGGGTCTCTTTATGAAATATTTGTACCATGTGCTACTCATCTACATCGGTCTGATTGTTGTCATTTGAAGAATTGTTGATACTGGAAGCTTGGTTAGGCCCAGTTAGCAAGCTAACTAGCTCAATTGCTAACTGCACAATAAGTAAACAGATTATTCAAGACATATATTTGTACCTTGGCTGCTGTCTTACAACTGAGTGAAAACCATGATTGATATGATTGTGATATGATTCCTGATTAGTAGGAATGATCATTTTTGCATCACAATTTTCATTTTCACTGAAGAACATTAAAATCATGATGATGTGACATTTGTTGGGGTCTGTAACAGACAAACATGTTTCCTTAGATCTGGAGAACAAAATGTGTAGGCCAGCGCATAGTTCAATAATATTTCTATTAAATTTGCAGCCCTATTATAAATCATGGTGAGGCGAGGGGTTTTACCATAACAAACTCTACAACCTCTTTCCTTCTTTTCTCAGACACACGTTCTGGCAGTATCGTAAGGAGAACCCTCAGACCAGAGTTGGTGAACCTCCTCCTGATGGCCTCCCAGGCTTCAACAGCGGTGTTATGTTATTGGACCTTGGTGCTATGAGGGCCTCAGCTCTCTACAATCAACTGTTGGAGCCAAGCAATGTGGCCAAACTAGCAGACCAGTATCGCTTCAGGGGCCACCTGGGTGACCAGGACTTCTTCACCATGATTGGCATGGAGCATCCTGAGCTGTTTTATTCCCTAGCCTGTGGCTGGAACCGGCAGCTGTGCACCTGGTGGAGGGACCACGGATACGGAGAAGTGTTTCAGTTGTATTATCGATGTGGTGGACCCATCTATATCTACCATGGGAACTGTAACTCCCCTATACCCGATGACTGATGTATGTACTGGACCGATGCTGGAACTAAAAAGGAGTCTATGACATCTACAATACAGTTAGAGAAATATTTGTCCTGCTTTGTCGGAGGGAGGATTGTGACTTTCTTTCTTGACCACTGTACCGACCATGTAGTCAAAGACTCTGCCCCCTGCTGGTCAAGGGGCTGCTGAAGGGACCACCTATACAAAGTTCCTACAAATGCGGTGCTCATCTGTGTCATTATAGAATAAACTGTGGCTTTCAGGCCAAAAACAGCCCTGCCTCACAGCAGTGCAAGAAGCTGCATAGTGGGGGCGTGTTTCTTCAGGTACCGAGATGATCGAAAGAAGAAATATGATCTCTGAAATTCAGTGTGAGTGACAGATCCATGAATTTGAATACTTTAGATAAGAAATATGCTGTGCACGTTACTAAGTGATCTACCAGGAACCTGTATTCGATTGGCCATCCCTGCTGGATGATACATTGTGTTGCAGCAAAAGCTCAACTTTTTGCAGGTGGCCTCTGTGTCTTGATCGGGGCTAATGTCAGTATGAATTTACCCTAATGCATAATGCCTAATGCACATCCTCAAGGTCAATGTCAAGTAATTTGTCTTTTTAAATTTGTTTTGAGGAAAATCTAAAAGACCACTATCCCTTACACAAAGCGGTGCAAGGAAATCATGTCGTTAACAAATGTTACTGCAATGAACTTAGGGTCAGCAAACGTGTTAAGTAGCATCTATAAACACAGAGTCTCGTACCTTTTTCCACTTCCTTCGTTCTGCTCAGTCTGTGTCCAGCACCTCAAGCTTTACATCAGGTTCACCTAGCGTGACCTTATCTTCCTGCAACACCTCACCGGGTGAGGGCCAATCTGGTGCTGTTCACCTCTGTGGCTTGTAGAAGAACGAACCAGGTTTCTTTGTTGGACCCCCTCTTTCCGGAGCCACGTGGGTGCAGGGCACAACACACTGCCACAGTTCCTTTTAAATATATCTTTCTGCAGATAGGAAGACGGGGGGGGGGAAATCACATCAGAGGGTGGAGAGGGCGTCGAAGAGATAGCGGTTAACAATGATGGCACTGATGGCTGTTGTTCGTGCCCTGCATTTGCAGTTTATCTGAGGCCAAACACACGTTTCAGAAGGAGTGAAGTAGCCGGGAACGTGACTGCAGACACTGACCCACTTTTGAGTTTTCTCGCTGTGCTCACCGAACTGACACTCAGATTAAAAGAAATGTCAGCACTCAATATTCATCAGTCAGGAAACTGTCTGAGGTGATGCACACTTTAACGCACACACACACAGTGAGAGTGAGGCGGCTGAATGCCGTGGACCATCAATGGAGTCAATGAAAAGGCTACTGAAGACACTTGAGAATTAACATTATTCCAAATCGATACACTTCCCTTGAACTCTCCCTGAAGCTGATCAATATTTTTCCGGCTTCTTTGAGAGCAAAACTCTTTATTCTCTATTGCTCTAAAAACACATTGTTAGCAAGAAAAAGAACCATTGAATCAAAGTATATACTGAAAAGAAAAATAAGTTCCTGATTGCACTTTACAACTTTCCAACAAATGCTTCATCATCAAGGATTTTGTTGACAGGACGTTGGTTTGATTTATTTTACTGAATTAATTATTATTTGATCTTTGTTTTTAAAGAGCATACCAATGGTTTTGTACACTTTGGCCCATTAACTATAAATTTATATCTGTAGTTTTTGATTGATTTACTAATCTTTAGGCTGCAATAGATTCCCATTTCTTTCAATGGATTATGAAAAGTCCAGATACTATAAATTGCTTGTAATTCATCACAGTGATCACTTCTTTGTTTTTTGTTTTTTGTCAGAGTACATAATTATGTAGCCTTGCGATGTCAAGTGGGACATTTAAAAATTCTTCATCGTAGTGCATTCAAGGATACTTCAGTGTCCCAGATAATTACCTGCTGAACAGAACATTGCATGTTAATCATGTTGAAAAATCAAACCTAAAGAGTTAAAACAATATGCAGACACGGGCACTGAGATAAGGACTGATAAACTCAATCATTCCTTCCATGAAATCTTTCTGTAAAGTTTCCTGGAAATACCTATGTGATTTGTTAATAATATGGAAAATAATAATTAAATAAATAATTGAAAGAGCTGCTCTATTTAAATCAAAGTAAATATTCATTCATTGTTCATTTAGCTTTGGAAAGTTTATTCTTTATATATGTTGAATTGTATTCTGGCCTGTAGATACATTTCCTATGTTTGCATATTCAGCTGTGCACTGACTAAAAGACTCTTTGGTTTATCAGACAACAAAAATATATTCCATATTTTCATCTGCTGAAGCAACGTGCCAAACGCGTAGTTCGCTCCTTTTTGTTTTTGTTTTTAATGTAATAAAATGGTGTCAATCCTAATGTCCTGGTGTGCGCTGGAATATGTTCTTGTTGTCTGGTTTACTTCGGTCTACTTTGGTTTGCTCTGAACCGGCTGGCACCCAGAAGAGAAGCACTGCTGTGCGTGCGGTACTTTCTACTTTTTGGACAACACTCTGGGTTATGCTAACAATTGATAAGTATTATTAATTGTGTGTACCATTTTAACACTTTCTGTATTTTCCCTGTAATACTATCAAATTACATCCCTGTAGTTCTTTCCAAGAACCTGCTTTGAAATAATTTGTAAAAATACTTACTTTACCACTTTCAAACACGCTGTGTATAACATGGGGTGTTGAAAATAGCTGGAGATTAAAGATGGTGTATAGTGAGAATGATCTGGTTTAACTTGATAAATGTGATAATGGTAGTAGCCCATGTTCACTGTCTGACAACACTTTTCCCACTTTGTTGCTTCAGTGTGAAAGGGGTAAATGGCTGTTCTGTGTCATTAAATTGTGCAATCATAATTCAAAGAGCTAACAGATGTTTGCCATTAAATGTTTAATAAATGTTTCATATCTCACTTAGAAATCACTTAAAAGTTTAGAAAGCTGCTGTGGTCAGTGTTAAAGACTCAAGTTGACATGTTTCTCTTAGTGACATGATGAAAGCAAATGTGAACGCAGCTTTACATGAAGCCAAACATTTTTTTAAATTCTCTTTTGAACGAATGTTAAAACTCACTAACCATTCAGAAATGAGCTTCCTTTGACATAAATACTGTAAACATCTCATTTTGTTTAGAAATGTTGTTTCTTTTGTGTGTTCAGCTTTCCTAAATAAATTATATGATAACTTTACTGTTTTTATGGTGTCATTGTTTTATGGAAACTAATAGTGAACACACAAGTTATCCTTTGCTCTTGTTTCAGGTATTTAACTGCTCACGTGACGGGGGGGCTTACAACACTCTGACCTCATGAAAAAGGGGATGCTATGAGTCACTTACATACAAATATATGTTAATGGTGCACTCTCATTTCTTGTTACACAAACCTCTGTCTGTGTTTGTTCATCTGCTACAAGCTAGACATGACCCATTTCTGTCACTCAAATTTGCCAACACAGGCAGCGAACACACCATAGACAGAAAAACAACATCAATCAGCCTTGACCCCTGAATGTGCTGACATTAAAATAAACCCAATTTGCACCTGAAACTAAAATGCTGAATGCTGAGATATTATGATATTCTCTTCGTCTCTTGCTCTTTTGTAAAAGTCCTGGACTGTTGTGGTTCACGACCTTGTAACGTTTACATTCTTTTGAATGATGCTGTCACCGAGGACAACAGGTTTTTATGAGGAGCTCTCTCAATTATTCGTGATTGCATGGATATTTAGACTTAGACTTAGACTTAGTCAGACTTTATTTGTCATTTGGATTTGCATCAAAATGAAATTACGTTGCAATGGCACATAGCACAACAGGAATAAAGCGGAGGCAGTATGTACAGTCTAAAAATAGATATGCAAATATAAAAGAGAGAGAAAAAACTTTTTATATAAAAAAAACCTGTATGATAATATATATTGCACAGTGTAGTTGCGTATGTAAAATAAACTTTTGTATATAATACACATACGACAAATATATCTTACATTCAGCTGTTCATCCCATATTGCAAAACCAGACTTCACCATTAATAAAGTGGCTTTTTACGCTTTGAAGTTCCAGTGCCCGGCCTTGTATTACAGCTCCTACATTGATGAAATTATATTAGGTTGGGCATAATAACCCGGGGGTATGTAGCCTATTATTGTGCTGTGATTTCTAAAATCCCTCAGCCTGGATTCATCGACAAACACTTTGAGCACATTTCCCTTCAGGGCGAGCAGTAGAAACAGCAGGCTGCTATATATTTGATCGAGCAACAGCATTGATGTCTTATCCAAGAAACACAAACAGTTCAATCTAAAGCTCAGTGAGACTGAGTGTTTCTATGCAGCCCTGTTTTCTACAGACCAGAAGACAAACGCTCTGCAGAATCTATTGCTGCTGTTACTGCTAATCATAGATGACTCGCTAAATCAGCTCTTCATTCAAAGCCAGAAAAAACATCACGATACTCCCACAGACGGACACACAAAGTTATTAGCATATGGACATAGCCTACACTTGACCTGGTTTTTGTCTGTGAACCACTGTATGTACACACTCTTGGACAAGGTCTATGCACTCCTCTACCAATGAGAAGTTGGAAAAAATATAGAACTTTCTATTTTTATACTTGCTGCTAGCAGACAACATAAACTTTCTTGAACTTTCTTCGTCTTGCAATGCACAATGGCCATATTACTAATCGTATGCTGAAATCCTCCACGACTGCATAGGGCTGCATATATTTCACTGTAACTGCTTCAGTTATGGATGATGCCCTGTCTGAATCTGCATGGAGAGGCTGTTTAAACGCTGTGGGGAGAAGAAGTCGCTCTTTTCTTACCAGACTCTCTCCTCCTTGCGCTGTCAACTGACACAACAGGGTGACATCGACACAAATGGTTCATCATATTGGAAGTAGACACCCCTAGCACAAGCCAGTCATTGTAGAGCTCCCATACAGCAGACTGACCCGATGCTTGCAGAGCCTCTTCTTGTATGCTTCTCTTGTCCACTTGCCATTTCCAAGACTGACTGACAGCTGCACTCCACACTTCATCTTACTGAGAAGTTTCGCTGGGTTATTAGAGCAAGGCCTCCCCCCCTCATAACTTTATTTGACCTCATAGCCTATCTCAAATGAACCGAACGATACATACACACCCCAAACAGTGACCGTGAATGAACCGAAGCACTTGTGTTACATTTCTATCTCTTCCATCTACTGGCCATGTAAGATGACTATTTTTTGTAGACAAAAACCAGATGTTTACAGGGTTTAATCAAGGCCTTTAAAAAACACTGACGACCGTATAATGCACATTTTAGTGCAGGTTACCTCAAGATTTTAGTCTCTCCAAATCCGTTCTGACAACACTCCTACACAAGTATATCAAACAACTTTTTATTTTGGCAGTGTAACATTTGTTTTGCCTCTTGTGCTCTCAGACAGAGTTACAGCCTGACATATGTGTGTATTAGTATAATGAAGCAATGACAGCTTATTTCATTTTCTCAGTGTTCACACCAACGATTCTCAAAAATAAATGAAAAAAAAAAAGATAATTTACAATGACAACATTAAGTATTTTAAACTGCTGGCTTATGTTGAAGACTACTTTGGCAGAAAGAGTCCACTAATTGAAATTCAGAAGACTTTACTGACAGTCAGTCCAATGTAAACATTTAGACCCTGTCAAATCTAAAATATATTGCCTTCTCCTGAAACACATTTACCTGACGGGAGCTGATCTACACAATCTGTGTGACATTATGTAAGTAGATTCATCTTTGGCAGTATACATACGTTAATATGTGCCTGTGGTTCACAAATGTATTTATACCTGTGTGTGTGCAGCTGACACAGTGCTCCACTAGACAAAATGTAGGCCAGTGTCTTCCTGAGTGCTCCTCCTCTCTCTCTCTCTCTCTCTCTCTCTCTCTCTCTCTCTCTCTCTCTCTCTCTCTCTCCCACTCCACCCACTCCCCCAGATAGTGGGCAGTCTGCCGAATAAACGGCTGAACAATGAGAGACCTTCATCCATCTTTACGTGCTCACTTCTCTGTTTGAGTTAGTGTTTGTTCTGCACTCTACTTCCCCCTCTCTTACTGTCTATATTTATTTTGGAACTGAAAATAGGTACAGTGACATTTTGAGGAATATTCTTGGTTGCTGAGTTTCCCAGGATTAAATTAAAAGATCAAAATTAGTATCAGTTACGCGTATTCAGTACAGTCATGTTAAGGCTAGCTTTACCTTAACCTAGCTTAACTACAAAGCTGTCTCATACACATTTTATCCCGTGTGCATTATTTAGAAATAGAACATGGTTTAACAAATAGTTAGCTACGATGTTATTTCTTTTTAATCATTTGGGGTCATTTTTATGCCTATATTAGATTAGTACAGGGAAGAGATGGAGAATGAGGTCCCCTGCCAGATGCAAACCAAGGAAGATCCAGTCTGTAACATTTAGATGTATGTACTGGCAGAAATGGACTATAATATTCATAGACATATTTTCATTAGTGTATAATCACCTGAATATAGGGATTGTGCTTTCAGTACCTTGGAATGAGCCATTGTTACAGACGCCACACTTTGCCTTGGAGTCCGGACATAAACCCTTACTGGCCTCAGCACTAAGTCTCAGCCCACTTGAACCAGTTTCTGTGCTATGATTAGCTCTGAACCCGAATTGAAATGTCTTTGCTATATTGTTTATTGTTGTTTATGGTTTATCTGGTGACATTTTTTCAAGTATCTTCTTAGAATACTGCACTCGACCTGGTTACGCTTCAGTAGAGGTTTCACAACAGCAGTTTTCAAGGGCTCTGCAACTCTAGTTTCAAGGGATATGTTAATCATTTTAAACAATCTCACAGAGTTCTAAGGTTGACATGGGGGTGAATTTGCTTATGGTTTCCCCTGAGGCTGAATGCAGGGGTCACCAGCAATTTATAGCAATGCCAGCTTCCAATGTGAGGGGTAGGGCACGGTTTAGCAGCAACAGTCTTCAAGAGTTATCTTAGTTTTTTGGAATTATACACACTTCTGGCAGTGTGTATAGTGTTATTATACTATGTATTTTTTGTAAATAATACAGTGGACCTCCTCCTCTACATGATTTCTTTATTAATACAAAAAAATTTGGGGGGTGGGCTTGGTGTAAAGATACCTTTAAGCTTGCAAAATGATGATCCCCAGCATCTATTCATTGTTTTGTATCAGCACAATCATAGCGAACCTAAGGACATACAGTGACTGTGATCCCACTCTGTACTGCTCGCCGATTCACACAACACTATTGTCTTTTACCAATGCCGTTGACTCATCCTCACCTCACAGTCAATATGCAAGAAAGTGTTTCATACAAGGCTTGGCCACAAAAGCTACTAAACTTTGATTATTTCCTGACACCTTAATAGTCTGCCAACAATGGCCAATCTCAAGGTGAGCGTATGCAATCAGAAACATGAATGCTGCCGTTCACGCATACAAATCTTTCCCATAGCTACGAATCCTGTAGCTTGAAGGATCCAGAAAGTAAAAACTTGCTAAAGAGTAGCTTCTCATAATCAACAGTGATTCAGGGAAAGCTCCTTAAAGGTGGGAACATTTTTAATTTGTTAGACTGGTGATCATGCGCATACACATATCAGTCCAGGATCACTTTAAATGGAATAAAACCTTCAAGAACAGAACAGAAAAAGGTACAATATACTGTGTGCAAATGTGCAGTTGCAACTGTCATTAAATGATCTCTTGTCCTCTCTCTTTGCATGTCTGTTTTTCATCTTCACTCCCAAAGTTTTGCATATGCATAACGAAACAAATTAACATGCACTCACACACACCACCACCATCTGTGGTCTTCAGAGATTGCTCTGTATTCCACCTCTCAGTGTCAGAACAGCTGTAACTTATAAACAAGAGGGAAGATTATGGTGACAGCAGAGGGTCATTTTGTGAATCATCTAAAGATAAAATATCAGCCAAAATGGCATGGCTCGAAATTGGGCCACTGACTGTCAACATCATCTCTGCGCCTCATTAGTTTAAGTGTATAGAATAGTAGGTCTGAATTGTGTGTGATTTCAAAATGTATCTACACTGATTTGATGCTCGTATATCCAAGTGGCAACTGTAGAATAACCTGAAATGTGTAGCTGAACAAGATTATTAACAGGAACAAAAGATGGTGCTGGTCATTGAAACAATATACGTATGTTCAACCCAAGAAATAGTCCATCTGAGATCAATAGTTGGAAAATGGGGGACTTGAGCAAGACTGAAGAGTTTCCAGACCTGGTCTTTTCAACACAAAATCACAGTTCTAAAATAGATGTCTGTACTGTAACGTTGTGCTGTGACACACATTCTGGTCCACACTTGTCTCTGCAAGTGATCCCATTCACAATAAACCTGGTGTAAATTCTCTTGTCGAGAGTTGGATGACTGCCTAACTGATGAAATGAAGAACAAAACAGTATTCTTTAAGCCCCCAATGATAATCTCTTAGAAATCATGTTCTTACAGGGGTGCAACAATATGATGTAACTACACAGTTTGTACATGTACAATATCAACCTGTACAGCTGCATCAAATTAAGTAAATTATGTAACATGGAGATTTCCAGACTACAGATGAATGTGTAAATAAGGTTTTGAACACAGTATGAAATACAGACCAAAAAGCCTCAAAGGGATTGTGTGCATGCACAGTTGAAGTACAGCACCAGGAAGTAGGACAATTCTTGAGATGCACCAGCCCATTCATAATCATACGTACAGTATGTTCAGGTTTTATTTAGGCTAAGGACACACCTGGTCAGGACAGGTCAGGCATGAGATCAGGTGAATACATAAGATGGATTTGGAAGGTGCGTCACGAACTGCAGGGAACTCGGGATCTCACAATGAGAAGACATTGAAATATATGAAGAGACTGTCTCAAGAGCTACACCTGGACATAATACAGCCATTTATTCACAAGATATGGAATCATAATGCCTTCTGGGAGGATGCAAACTGTGAACACTGGCCGGGAGGCTGACCCACATAATATATGGCTCTGTCTAGCAGAAATTAGGTCTCTGTGTCGCCCTACTTCAAAGTCCAGGGGGAGAAATGTCCATGTTAACATCTAATCTTGTATTCAACAGCAGAATCTGATTTAAAATCTGAGGTGGCGAACTATTCTTAAGATGTGGTGAGTTTGACTGAACTAGGTCCAAGTTCAATCATGTTATGTGCTTTACGTGTAAAAGAAGAAATTCCTAGAAATAAGAGTAAGCTTTACTCTTGCTTTAGCCTTTAAACACTAGGGGTGTAAAAAAAAAAAAAGTCATATAATGTCATATAATATATCGATTCTCTAAAACACTGTATTGATTTTTGGAATCACTAGATAGCAGTGTTGCAAATGTATACTTACAGCTGTCCACGTCTGACACACCAAGAGCGTGTGTCAGCTGCGTGGCTGCTGCCAGCCCTGTTTCCACATACACTTTTCTTTGTATAATGTCCATGAAAAATCTACATTTACATGTCATTTAATCTACAATGCCATATATATGTAATTGAAATGTAAATGTGAAGGGCAACCAGCAGTCAGGTGTGATTTGTTTACCCAGAGAGAGAGAGAGAGAGAGAGAGAGAGAGAGAGAGAGAGAGAGAGAGAGAGAGAGCGAGCAGTGTTTTTACTTTACAAAGGTTTAAAGTTTAAACTGTACTGAAATATGTGGATATGACTACCAACAGATCCTTTTCACTGTCCTGTTTGCTGGGAGACGCATGATATTGAATGTTACAGGGATAAATACAAAAGCAGATCCCACTGTTCTGGTTGCATAAGAAAACTTACTTTTTAAAACATTGTTTACGCATATGGTGGTGTGCACTATGACAGTTAAAAAAAAAATCACAATATATTGCCTAGCTTACAGTATTGTTATATATCACATATTAAATGATAACCCTGGTATCATTATATATATCATATTGCCAGATTAAAACGTAGTTTACAGGATAACAGATAATTTGAAATAAATTGAATTTTTGTTTAGAGTAAAACATTCAACACAAAATTAAATAAAGTGGCAGCCCTTGATTCATAAGCCATTGTGCATCACAGTGAACCAG